ACTTTGACTCAACAAACCAAATAAGCAAATTTCACATGGTACCTTTTAAAAAAGCCAATGGACAGAGGTGGTGTTTAAAACCACAAGAATCGCTTAAACCTGGAAGGTGGAGATTACAGTGAGCTGAGATCGTGCCAGTGCACTTCAGCCTGGGCAAGAAAGTGAGACTGTGTCTCAAAAAAAATTAAAAAATTAAAAATAAGTAAAATAAAATGGTTCCTTGCTATTTTAATAGGCCATCAAAGATAGAGTTGAGGCCCTTTCTTTAGTCAATGGTCTCTTGAACTTCACAAGGAGAACATGCTATCTTCTTGGTAAAGTCAGAACTTTTGAAAATAACCCTAAAGTTCTGTGACAGAATTGAGAAGTAAAATTCAGGCAGCTTTCTGAATGGAGCTAACTTGTGGAGCTGCTCACTTCAGTGGATGGGTATCAGTTTCAATTTCAGCTTTGCTACTTAGATCTTATGTGCTCGGTTCAGTAACTAAACTTCAGTTTCCTCACCCATATTTTGGGAAAAACAAAGCATTCCTCATACTAGATGCTGGCTTACTCTTATTTCCTTTCCTCTTCGTTCTTCTCAAAAAAGCAGGATAACTAGGAGATCAGAGGCTGTTGATACATACATTGAATCTTAAGGAATCTGTGCCTGATTTCTAGCATCCTTGGAGGACAAAGGAGAGAGCTGATTCAGAAACATTGCTTGGAGAAACAACTTCAAAAATTATGTTGGATGGGACACTGTAATGTCCACCTTGAGGTTATCTTGGATAACCTCAAATCAAAGCAAGGCAAAAATTGTGATATGGGCAATTTTAGCTCCTCCTTCCTCTTACCTTCACATCCCTCCTCTCTCCTAGTGGAGTTTTCTTTCCCAGTATCCCTTTGCTGCTCGTGGATGCCCTGGGTTGGGTCTTTCCCCTCTAGGGAGTCCCAGTGACCCAGGCTGGGTCTCACTTCTCATCCCTCTTATGTCTCAGCTATCCTCATCACAACTTTGTTGTGCGTGGAACTACCCTCAGTTGAGGGTCTCCTCAAAGAAGAGCTGATAAGGCAATTTACTCAGAGGATAAATTGCTAGGAAGGTATTTTGGGTTTCCCTATCTGAGAGGCTGAGAGAATCTACAGTTCCTCCTGCAGGAGGTTTTCAGGCTAAGGCACAGTCAAGGAACCCTGTCAATATCCTTCATAATCCCCATCCTGAACCTATATGTAAAAAGCCAAAGAGCCAAAGTAACCAACTTCCAATAGTGCTTGTTATCAGCGTGAGATCCCAATGCTTCCCACTGCTCTCATCTAATTGCTGCTCAATACAAGTCATCTGAGCCACTAGCACAGACAGGCTCTCTAAGATATTTGCAATGGCTCAGGAACACACAGAATCGAACTCCAGAGATGAGCCTTTTGGGATTTTCAGCCTTAAAAAAAAATCTGGAGTACAGGCTTGATACGGTTTGGCTCTGTGTCCCCACCCAAATCTCATCTAGAATTGTAATCCCCACATGTCAAGGGAGGGATCTGGTGGGAAGTGATTGGATCATGGGGACGGTTCTTCCCATGGTTTTCTTATGATAGTGAGCAAGTTCTCATGAGATCTGATGGTTTTGTAAGTGGCGTTTCCCCCTGCACTTTCTTTCTTTCCTGCCACCTTGTGAAGACGTGCCTTCTTCCCCTTCACTTTCCACTATGACTGTAAGTTTCCTGAGGCCTCCCCAGCCATGCAGAACTGTGAGTCACTTAAACCTCTTTCCTTTATAAATCACCCAGTCTCAGGTACATCTTTATAGCAGAGTGAAAATGGACTAACATGGTTGAAACAATTTTTTAATCAGTTTAAACAGTTTTTATTTTATTTTATTTTTATTTTATTTATTTAGTTATTTTTTGAGGTGAAGTCTTGCTCTGTCACCCAGGCTGGAGTACAGCAGCATGATCTTGGCTCACTGCAACTTCCACCTCCCAGGTTCAAGTGATTCTCCTGCCTCAGCTTCCTGAGTAGCTGAGACTACAGACACGTGCCACCACACCCGGCTAATTTTTGTATTTTTAGTAGAGATGGGGTTTCAGCATCTTGGCCAGGCTGGTCTTGATCTCCTGACCTCGTGATCCACCTGCCTCAGCCTCCCAAAGTGCTGGGATTACAGGTGTGAGCCATTGGGCCCAGCCCAACAGTTTTAATTCATTTAAACTGTTTGTTATTTGTTTGTTTTCAACAAACTGTATAATGTCTTACTATTCCACCTACAGAAGAGGCATATATCAGCTAAAACCAATTCTTCTGCTTTTCGTATTCTAGGACAGGCAAAACTGAGAAAGGGCGTGCAAGGGGAATTCTCTCAGCCTCTAAGATCTTTCCAGTTGAGAACACTCAAAAATGTCCAATGGGAGAATAAAACCACCAGTGAACGAAGCTATTGAGAAACACAGTGCACCTCAATGTGATTCTCACAGAAGCCACAGCATGGGAAGGAGGTGTAGCACTTGCCTGGCTAGCTTTGGCATGGGAGATAGAAAGCAAACCAGGTAGGAGATGTAATCTTCATAAAAATTCAGCAGAAAGACATTCAAGCAAATCAAGCAACGTTTTTGGAATGCAAGAGCCAAGAGGCCAGAGCCAGAGCAGCAGGGTCTGCTGCAGACAGAGACACGATGACTTTGGGACAAGGCCAGCTATGCCCTAGGAGGCTAAGAGATACAAACCAAAAAAAGATTTATCATGTATGCTCTGTAGAAAGGCTTTATCTTCTGTCACATTTGGGTATTTTCAGCCACACTTGCATACAAGGATAGCTGCAGTGTCAACAGTATCATCCTTGACCACAAAGGATGACAGTGACAAATCTCAGGGTCCTTTGAATTTGAAGATAACATTGTTCACTACTGTGAATGCCAGACTTTTATTGTCAACAGAACTTCTCAAGTTATTTATGCCTGCAACAACTTGTATTAGATCACCCGCCTCTTTCAGCTGCTTCCCTGAGGTGTGTTACAGTGAAAGTGAGAGTGTTGTCAGCAGCAACACGTCCTCCATTGCCTGAATGACCACAGAAATTGGAGTTCCCAAACGTACACTGGAGACCTCTCACTCTGTTAACCTCTCCACTTCAGCCTGTCTCTGTGATTCCCTTGGGAACTTATCAATATCACAAAATGCTATCTCGTTCTTTACTCTGGAAATTGAAAATCTTCCAAAAGAATACTCTCTGAGATTCCTTAAATGTATGGTCCTAAACCATTCCTGTAGAGATTTTGGAAGAACCTGTACAAGGAGACTATTGTATGCATACACAAATAAATGACACAACTCAATGGTTTAATACCATCTGCCAAGTTAAACTACTGCAGAGCAGCTGTGCATATTTAAAATGATGCCTGGCACAACTAGAGATCCATAAATCATCAGCTGCATACTTTCATCCAATTAAGAGAGTTAAATAAGAAAAATTCCACAAATTAAGATGTGTGTAAGGACATGGATGACATCGTAATTCCTCTCTGAATGCAAAAATAAATAAAAATAAAAATAAATCCTCATTTTGCTGATGTTAAGGCTAGAGTTACTTTTCTAGGGACACAGCTTTTCCGGTATTTCAAATCCTGGCACAAAACCTTGTTCGCAGAAGGGTCATTTCAGGCTTGTCAGTTCTCTTTCTGTAAGTACTAGAGCAAAACAGAAGTAATGACTTAAACTGAAAAGCAATCCTTCTTCAACAGGAGAGAATGGGTAAACTAGGATCCTAAGGCTTTCCTGGGACAATGATAGCCATGTCATAGGATCGGAGCGCTGTCTCTGTGCAGTTAATCCCTTTGCTCTGGTTTGTTTGTAGCACAAAGATGCTCAACAGCAGGGAGGATCAGGCCAGAATACACCTCATTCCAGCTCGTGTTGGCCTTAGGTTTATAGGCTTGGCTAGAGAAGCCAAACCTATTTTCAGTAGAGACAGGGTTTTACCATGTTGGCCAGGCTGGTCTGCAACTCCTGACCTCAAGTGATCTGCCTGCCTCGGCCTCCCAAAGTGCTGGGATTACATGAGCCACCGTCTCCAGCCAGATCCTGATTGTCTTGTGCAAATAATTGATGCTATTCTTCTTTGATATGCAACACAATTTGATAAATGGTAGTTTCTTAAGTCTTATTTACAATGCAGTATCTGAAAACAGATCCATGAACTTCGCGTTCCTGTTTCATTAAAATCCATCAATCCATCTTGCACAAATGTTGACATATTACAATCACAATTATTAATAACAATACCACTGATCTCATCTGAAATGTCTCGAAGTATTGGGAAGCTACAATGGACTGAATGTTTGTGTCTCCCTGAAATTCATATGTTCAAATTCTAATCCTAGTGTGATGGTATTTGGAGGTGGAGTCTTTGGGAGATGCTTAGGTCATGAGGTGAAACTCTCATAAGTGGGATTAGTACCATTACAGGAAGAGATCAGAAAACTAGCTAGCCCTTTTTTCACCATGTAAGGACACAAGAAGAAGGTGACTGTCTGTAATCAGGAAGAGAGCCCTCATCAAAAACCCTGCCATGCTAATACCCTGATCATGGACTTCCAGCCTGCAGCACCGTGAGAAATAGATATTTGCTATTAAGCCGCCTGACCTATGGCAATTTGTTATGGCAGCCTGAACTGCCTAAGACAGAAGCTGTGAAGCTCACAGTGGCAGATAAAAGTTTTCTAAAACTCATATTTTCACTTGTAAACTCAAGATTTTATCACTGGCAACATTCCTTGAAGTGACTGTCTCATGTGGCTCATATTAGAGAAAATACCTGCCAAAATTCAATCCAAATAACCACAGGCCATCAGTCATTCTTTCAAGTAAAGATGGCATTCTCTGAAAAATATGAGGTTTATTAAGCTCATATCACAAATAACTATAAAAATTCTTATGCTTCTGACAACTGTCATGATTTGGTACACAGCAGAAATACTTCATATGTGCTTCTCATTTTGTGTCACAGAATATTAAAAATATGTACACTGTGCTTGCTTCAGCAGCACTCATACTAAAATTGGAATGACATGGACAAGCTCAGCAGGGCCTGTGCACGAAGATGATATGCAAATCTGTGCAGAGTTCCATATTTTGCTTTCCTCTTCTAATGTTTATGGGTATGGAAACCGAGCTGTGATGAGTGAGGTAGCTTGCCTAACTGAGAAACCTACCCCCAACTCCTCCTCCAAAACCAAAACATATGTATATTTTCAAGGCTAAGGCTAAATAGAAGTAATAATTTTATTGATGCTTTCAAGACCATTATTTGTTAAAATTAGCTTTGCGCTCCCATAAGTGCATAGCATCAAAGAATGCAATGACTAGTTAGGTGCCACTGCCTTGTTTCATGCTAAGGTGCCAGCAGTGTTAACTAGCATTGCTTTTGCACCATCAATGTAAACATCAACCAAATGAAAACGGCAAATACATAATCTCTTAATGTGATTACAGAAATGGTTTTGACCTCATAAACTTTCTGAAACTTAATGCTTATGTTGGCAACAAGGTCATCATAAAGAAAATAAATGAATATTAGCATCCTCTGGTATATGAAAGGGGAACCGTTACTTTATACTTCTGTGTCACCTGATCCTTTATGATTTTTGTAGTTTAAGAAAATGAATAAATAAATGTACCTGGAACTGTCTTCATTAAAAAGAGAAAGGTGGCCTGAATGATGTCTCAAGAACTTATCATGTGAACCCAAATCTTCTTAAAAGTGTCCTTAAAGAGTCTTGTGAAAATGTCTGCTAAAAATCCTAATGCATTCAGTGACTTGCATGAGTATTTTCTGTATTTTCTTCAGTAAAAACAATGTAGAAATTATGAAGATATAAGATTAGGCCTTAACATTATATGTGTGTGTGTGTGTGTATATATACACACACACACACACATATATATATATATCATATATATTATATATATGTGTGTATATATATGTATCATATATATGTATTATATATATGTGTGTATATATATATTAATTTGAGTTTGGAGTAGCTAATTATATTGCTCTAATTCATCAGTTTATATGCACTATAAAAATCTTTATATAAATATAACTGATTTGACACATTTTTTTATCATTTCAGTTAAATGATTAAAAAAATGCCATGTCTGTATTCTTTATCAGAAATAGAATTCAAAGCATATTACTTTTCCCCACAGAGAAGCCAAAGTCAACTTCCATCATTGTGGTATCATTTTAACATCTTCCTTCAGGAATACAATGGTATCAATTATTACGCTTTCTTGGAAGGAAAAAAAAAAAAGACTAAATGGCTCACATAGAAGGACTTTTATTAATTTCCATAGTTTGGAGACCAGGACAGAGTGGGCTCCAGGTAATGTAGATCAGGGTCTCTTTGCTTTTGGCGATTCTCTCAGCCTGTCCTCCTGCCTCAGGTAGGTGGCACAGTGCCTGCTCCTAACAACAAGATCCAGAGGAAAACGAGGGACAGACTCTAACTGTGCCTCTTTAGAATTAAGAAAACCTTTCCCAGAGGTCCCCACGAGATTTTCTTCATCCTTCCATGTGGATTATTAGGTCACATGCACATGTCATTTTGACCAAGTCACTGTTGAGGGAAATGGTATGACTAGCATTGATCGAAACCAGAAATCAGAAAACTGCAACCAAAGGCCAAAGCCAGCCCACAGCCTATTTTTGTAAATAAAGTTTTATTGTAACACAGCCATACTCATTCATTTATATGTTGTCTCATACAATTACACAGTACAGTGGTTGTAACAGAGACCATGTGCCTGCAAAGCCTAAATATGCACTATGTCCTTTACAGAAAATGTTTGCTGAATGTTGGTATACAGAATTATTTGGGGAAGAATAGAGGATGACAAGTCAACCACAATGATCACTACAAGATAGAGTGGTTCTAAAAAAAACAAGCTCTAGGCTGGGCGCAGCAGCTCACACCTATAATCCCAGCACTTTGGGAGGCCAAGGTGGGTGGATCACTGGAGGTCAGGAGTTTGAGACCAGCCTGGCTAACAGACTGATGAAATCCTGTCTCTACTAAAAATACAAAAATTAGCCAGCCATGGTGGTGGGCACCTGTAATCCCAGCTACTTGAGAGGCTTAGACAGGAGAATCACTTGAACCCGGGAGACTGATGTTGCAGTGAGCCAAGATCGCATCATTGTGCTGCAGTCTGGGTGACGAGAGCAAAACTCCATCTCAAAACACACACACACATACACACACACACCAAGCTCTTTGACCTTGAAATGATGAGATAAAGCTAACAGTATATATGACATAGTCCTGAACATATAAATTATGTCTCAAAGATTGCAAGTGCTGTAAAAATGCAGAGGAGCTCCAATAGTCCCAGGTATTCAGAAGGCTGAAGTGGAGGATTGTTTGAGCTCAGGAGTTCAAAAGCAACCTGGGAAACATAACAAGACCCCTTCTCTTGAAAAAAAAAAGAACTCAGAAGAAAAAGTGATCAATAAAGGCAAAGCAAAAATATTTTCAAAGCAAACAAATTCTCCGCTGAAACGTTTCATGGGACATGTATACAGAATGCTGGTCTGTTTTGACTTAGCTTCTTGTGTTTAGTGTTTTCTATTGACAGGCAGGTGAGCAGCATGCAAAGGACTAGCCTGGCATCTTTCTGCTCTATTACAATATTATAGGTCCTGTTTTCCCCCAGGCTTTCTTATGTCTTCTTTAACCTTAATCATTGCATAATACAAAGGCTCATTCTAGATAAAAATGTACAAATTTTATCTTTGTCGTGCAGCTTTGTTGATACAAGTCCCATATCACTTCCTTTGTATTCTGTGGTATTTTTGTCTCCTCCCCACCTATTAGAATGTCTTACACAGATCTTATAAGATCTGAAAACCATTCATGGTAGGAGGTAAAACTAGAAGCCTCACTCCAGTCAGGAGGATATGCATTAAAGAGAATAGAAAATCCTTGAGTTAACTAGAAAGGAATCTGTGTCCACTTCTTGTTATCCTCAAAACTACCACTTTTAGGCACTTTCCTAACCTCATACTTTAAATGTGCACTATTACACCCCAAGCATTGCACTGAAAGATAAATACTGAATGGTCCTATAGCTTGAATGTCTCCTCTAAAACTCATGTTAAAATTTCATTGCCTATGTAACAGTATTGGGTGATAAGGCCCTTAAGAGGTGGTTAGGTTGTGAAGGTCCTGAACTCATAAATAGATTAATGCTAGTGTGTTAATTACCTCAGGGGTGGGCTCCTAATCAAAGGATAAAGTCCAGACTCCATTTCTCTTTGTTCCATGTGCTCACTTGCCCTTCCACCATGATATGACACAGCAAGAAGCCCCTCACCAGATGCAGCCCTTTGATATTGGATTTTCCAGCCTCCAGAACTATGAACCAAGTAAACTTCTATTCTTTACAAATTACTCAGTCTCTGGTGTTCTATTGTAGCATCAGAAAACAGACAAAGACAAATGGGTAGAAAAACGTGGAAACATCCTCTTCACATTCCTACCCCATCTGCCCTACAGAACTCCTCAGAATACTACGTTTGAACATTAGGTGATGACTTCAGATATCTCGTGAGTTCCACAAGATGAGAACTATATGGGAAGCAGTCGTAGTAGTTTGAAGAAAAGAGAAAGGTCCTGCATCATGTGTTCTATCATGTGATCCAGATTGTCATTTGCCCCAACAGTGACTCTCACTCAAGCCGATAGCAGGAAGCTCTAAGAGGCACATCAGAGACATGGTTGCTCCTAGGAAGTTGCACGTCTTCACTCCAACCCTAAGATATAGATGAGGATCTTCTTTCTAGCAGAAATAAGGCAAGGCAACAGAGATCCCAACAAGGTTAAATATTAAATTTCAAGGCTGAGAATGAATCAAAGGCCTGAAAAATTAAGTACATTTTAGAGATCTAGGCAGGCAAGTTCTCAGAGTGCAGCTGTCAGGGAATTTAAGATCTGAAATATTTCTTCCTGCCCAAGAATGTTTAACATTTTTATTCAATTAAGTAACTATTTCTTGAGTAATTATTGTGAGCCAGAAGTTGAACTATGTGTGGGATAGAGCCGCAAACAAGGTCAACATGGTCTCTTTTGCTATGGATTTTATGATCTATCATGTGTGTTACTTGTTTTTCTTTCCCTTATTAGACTGAAGACTTTATTTTTAAAATTTAGAGACAGGGTCTTGCTGTGTTGCTCAGGCTGGAGTGCAGTGGCATGATCATAGCTTACTGCAGCTTTGAACTCCTGAACTCAGGTGATCCTCCTGCTTCAGCCTCCCAAAGTACTGGGATGACAGATGTAAGCCACTGCACCCAGCCTAGACTAGAGACTTTTTGAGGACAAGACTTATATTGTATTCATCTTCTTGTCTCACACCTAGCACAGTGGTTTACACATAGTTAATACTCAGAAAGTTTATGGAATTAATGAATTACTTGACTGGATAAATGAAGTCAGTTCTGATCCTAATACAGTGATCCTTTATACTTGTTTATGAGCAAAAATAGTCCCAGACCCAAAATTAGAGAAAAATAAGAGGTCTACAGGTGTTCCATGTTCACAGTTAGAACCAGGACAGAAGGGCTGGGATTACAGAGAGATTTTTGCAGCAGGAAGTGTTAATGCGATATATATTTAGCACATGAACTGTAAATATTTCACAGCTGAGACTACAGTAGGATTGCCTGGATTAGAGCAGTGACGGAGACTTTGCCATGGGAAAAAGACAAAGTACATGTTTGAGACTGAACCTACTCTTAACTAAAATAAGTGACACAATAAATTTTCTGTGGAGAAGGCATTTTTAGCCTCCTTTACATGTATCACACATATTTAGATGATGAACCATCTTATGTCTCTTTTAACTTTCATTTATTCTTCAAGATGCAGCTCAGCTACCATCTGCTTTTCTAGGAAATACCCTTTGTTCATCTTTCTAACTTGCCTCCACCTGGGCTCGATGCCTATACTGCTTTGAGTAGTTCTCCTCAACCCCCAGGTTCACGTCTACCTGGAAACCGTGAAGGTGACCTTATTTGGAAATAAGTACTTTCAGACAGAATCAAGTTAAGATGAGCTCATACTGGATTAGGG